TTTAAACGCAGTCGCTTCTTCATGTATCTAAAACAGTAAAAACGTTGACCTCGCAATGTATTTTTAATGTTAACAAAAAATTATTCGGTGCTACAGCAGGACTAAACGGAGGATGACCTATCAATTCGACGTTTTGAGTGCTCAAAAATTTATTTGTTTGTGGCGATGTATGAGAGCTACCACTGTCGTTGTAGATAATAATTTGTCTTCGCATATTAGTTTTGCGACATGTCCAGTAACATAAGTTAGTGTGGGGACGAGTTTAAAGAGAACTATCTCCGTATATAAAAAGTAGCCCTCAAAATGTACCTATGACATTAAGATAACGTTACTGTAACAGAATAACGTTTAAAATCGCCAAGAGTTGTGAGAGTAGATATTCCATTCCTACCAATGATCTATATATTTATTTAGATTGATCACCAGTACGTAAAAGATATGAAAACAATATATGGAATGTAGATTAAAGGAGAATAATCTTACAATTATTAACTTAAAACATTAAAACTTATAAAAATACGTTGTAGTTCAGTTGTTATTGTGGTACTGGTACATATTTCTTATATTATATTTTATGCCAAAAGTTAATTTTAATTTTATTGACTAGAGTTTTTATTGTTCTTTTTGAAGTCGACATATTATTTTCGAGCTCATACGCGTAGATTCACGATTTGTTACCTGTTACGATGTTATAGGCATACCTATTTTAAAGCACCACGATTGTATTTTTTAAGCATTTCTTTCGAACAAGTCACGCAAGCCTTTTTTGAACGATTGTCAAATTATGTGAAATCAAATGCCAACAAATCTTTTTTGCCGAGCAAATATTCATGCAATAATGAATGTTTGCTGATCCCACTAATACCCAAAGATGACATGACGATCTTGCAGTGACAGTTCAGGCACATAATCAATGTTTTCTGAAACAACAACCGATTTTGGACGACCTTGACGAAATTCGTCTTTGAGCAAGCTACGGCCACGACTGAATTCGGTAAACTCAATACACACTGGTCCTTGATGGTGCATTATCGCCAAAAACATTAAGTTCATCAAAGCACTTATCTTTTTAAAATTATTATTTCAAAATAAAATGTCATACAAAGTATCGTATACTTCTCCTGACTGGAATCGTTGATGGGTAACTGTATTAAGTCTGCTACTTGTAATTAATTTTCACTAATGTGGAATCCTTTTTAAGGAAAGAAAACTCTGAGTCATTTACTGCAGAATTTTATTTTTAATTGGCTAGTTTCGCCCTCTATGGGCCCTCATCAGGCCTAACATTGTTACAAGTTACATAGTAGATAGCATGATAGAGAGTATATAAGCAAAATTTTTTTTTAAAATATTCATAAACTTACCTCGTATATTGTTATATAAAAAATAAGAGAGTGAGTTATAGATCAAATATTCAACAAGTTCTAGTCTGGTTATGTGGTAACTGAAAAATTCTTAAGTATAAAATCAAAGTTGAAATCAGATACACAGAAGGGGGTAAGGGATTAACTCGAGTTAAGAAAGGGAAAGAGGGAAATTAATAAATTAAAAGACTACCAGGAATCAGATCTATGAGCTGTTAGGGTGAGAAGAGTGTGAAGAAAAGATGGTAATGTAGAGGGAAAGATTGAGAGTGGTGTGTTAGATTGGTGTGAGAGTAGGAGGGGATGAAAAAACAAAAAAGTGGTTATCTAGTGATGGTACAGAGGCTTGTGTGCTTGCTAAACAAGTATGATAAGGCGAAAGAAGTCTAAAAGAGGTTGTTAAAAGGATAAAGGAAGGGTGATAGAGAAGGTCAAGAAACCAGAAAAGAGATAAAGGAGGGAGGAGCATGGAGAGTAAATCAAATAGGGAGTACTAGATTATTTATCTGTTTTAAGAAATATTTGTAAACAGAATTTGGTCAGATATTCTCTAAATGTCAATAAATCAGACCTACCTCCTTCTTCTGCCTTTACCCTTTTTCATTCATTTGCATTCGGATTTTTTTTTAAATTTTACCTATTTCATTGGCAACAATACTACCAACTTACTTTCACCACCTTTACTTGTTTTCTACGCCTCATCTACCGAATTGAAACGAATAACACAACTCTTAAACTCTTAAAAGTATTAAAAAAAAATACGTTCTCACGGCGGATATTTGCCAATTAAGTTCTATATTACCTTTTACAACATCCGCTCCTTATTTAATATGAATTTCGGCTATTCTCCTTCGATCAGTAGGATACCTTTTACCAACCACAGGTGGCGCTTGGGATATTCCAACGGAAGATGCTACCGCATCAATTTACTGGCTAAAACACTCCTTTTTCCTTTTCTTTTTCTCCTAATTTCCTTACTTCCCTCTACCCTTTTTTCCTTTTCCTCTTATTTCTCCTCTATTTCCTATCCTTTTTCCTTTTTTGCCTCCTCTACTTCCTATTTGATTTCCTCTCCATTCTCCTCCCTCCTTTATCTCTTTTCTGGTTTCTTGACCTTCTCGTTCACGCTTTCTTTATCATTTTTTCCACTGCTTTTAGACTTCTTTCATAATATCATACTTGTCAAAAAATTTGGCTTGTTAAGCAAGCACACAAGCCTCTGGACCGTCACTAGACATCCATTTTTTTTGTATTTTCAACCCCCCCCCCTACTCTCACACCAATCCAAAACCACTCTCAGTCTTTTCGTCTACATTACCCTGTTTTCTCTTCACTCTTCTCACCCTAATGGCTCATAGATCTGATTCCTGGTAGTCTATTAATTTATTACTTTATGAGATAGTTCCTCCTCGAGGATATCAGGAATCGGTTCTATTTACCACTACTTACCTTTCCCTTCCCCTTTCTTAACTCGAGTTAATCCCTTACCTCCCTTTCTACAATTTCAAGATAATCCTCCCTTTTAACCTGTGCTTCTGATTCAATTTTGATTTTATACTTACCACATAACCAGACAATTTCTGGACTAGAACTTATTGGACATTTGATCTAGGACTCTCCTCTTTTTTATATAACAATACGAGGTAAGATTATAAACCATTTATACAAAAGTTTTTACTCATAAACTCTCCATCATGCTATCTACTATGTAATCATACTATGTAACTTTACAATTTTGGGCCTGATGATGGCCCATAGAGGCCGAAACTAGTAGCCAAATAAAAATAAAATTCTGTGGTAAATGACTTAAGAGTTTTCTTTCCTCATTTATATTTGAAGATTGACGGAATGAAAGTGTTTTTCCGCCTATCTCTATCCAAAGTATACATTTCCTGACCTCATTGCAGGGAGCAAAGTCATACTTTTCCTCCCTAGGGAGGAAAAGTAAAAGTGACGTCATGGTATGTCATAAATGAAATAGCTTATACGGCATTGACGACCTAAACTATATTCTATTATATAAGTATGAATTTTACCGTTTATTTATAGAACACCCTGTATTTTGCTTCGCGTCGGGCAGTAAACTTCATCCTGCAGGAGGAAAAGTGACACTTTCCTCCCTAGTAATACAAATAGCTATTTATATCATTTAAATGAAGCTATTTTAAAGAAAATGGCATTTATTCTCATCAAATCTGACTCCATTAGCTCGAGTTTGACACATGACGTAAAAATGTCATGTAAAGGTGCGGATACTATTAGTATCGTAATAACATCTCCTTCTTATTCTCTCAATGATTTTCGAGCTTATTTACTTTTCATTTGCAAGCAACCTCAGTCGTACATTTTTATTTTTGGTTTCCAATTTCACATTTTCGAAATAAAGTTTTAACATTCTATTAGCAGGCCCCTGGCCTCGACCTAATATACAATAATTATATAAACCTTTCAGCACTAAAATGAAGAATATTTAAAACATTAGTTCTCAAATAAAAAAAAGAATGTATATTTTTAAAATAACAGTATAAAAACGTATTTTAGGGTTTAGTTTAGTTCAATGGCCTGGCCAAAAAGAAATCTCGTTTCCATGCCCTGCTTGGAAGCTTTTTTCCGCTACTGCCTCGCATCATTTCATAATCTGACATCATCTAAAGTGACAATAATATTTTGAAGGGCAGTGCAACAATGGAATGGAACGCATGAAGAAAACCCCGGAAGTGTGAAAAGGGCGGCACGTGTTGCCGATGAGCCAAACCGGAAGTAAACTTTGCGAGAGGGATTAAACTCCCTATCATATTTTCAACACGCGACTTCAAATTTCAGATAATATCTATAAAATATTAGTGATGATATCTATATATGGTTTCTTTTTTGTTACATTTATAATTGAGAGGTTATTTGTTGTAATACTTATTGATGCGCTTACTGGAAAAAATTATCGTGAATAATGGATGAAATCTGAAATATTTAAGTTCAAGATTGACGAAAATCATTAGATAATGTATAAATAATAATAATAATGCATAAATAGAAATACTTAAAATGTTTCCTACTGATTCGTCTTCGAATACTTTTAACATTTTGACAACGGCAAATAAATATTCCCTGTATCCCGACATAATAAAGTCATAATTATTTCGTCATTATTAATAATAATTAAAAAGAACCTACAAATGAGTTTTACGGCTGTGTGTACACAGTAGATAAGCAAAAGAAACTTGTATTTTGTACAAAAATTTGATTCAAATTGTGCTTTCGGTATTAAGCCATTTTCAATAAGCACTGAAGATGCACTGAAAATGCATTGAAGATGCATTCAAGATGGCACTGAAGCAGATGGGCTAAATGCTGAAAGCGCTTTGTTAACTTCAATAAAAAAAACAAAATTGCATGAAATATATGTTTTCTCTTGTTATCTCTTTAGAATCAAACATCAATTATTAGGTACAGATAGACCAGACAGTAAATAATATTTAAATTGGAATAAAATAAATTATATAATGAAAAGAAAATCACTAAATTTTAATCCTTATAGCAATGAGACGTGGGTCTAGTAAAATAATTTATTGATCTAATCGGTACATATTGTTAAAACTCTTCAAAACAGTTTTCGTGGGCATCAGTAAACCGCTGCCAATGCGATTCCTACGCTGTAAAGGTTCCCTGAAGTCAGCTGTCGTAATCTCTTTCAGAGACTCTGTGAGACCGTTGGATTGCGGGAAAAAGTCTGGCAGACTTGCATCGGTGGTGTACGATGGTTGCATCAAGGTTGCGGCCCCTATCCGGGCAAGGTAGGAGGTTACAACAAAAAAAGATGTGGACTGGAACGTTATCGTGGTAGAGCATTCAGCGATCGGCAATCTGTGAACTGTTGTCAGGGCCGACTAGAGGTGGGAGTAGCCGGGACTAATTCCCGGGGCCCGGACTCAAATGGGGATCCGGCAGCGGAATAAGGGAGACCCGGCAATTGTTTTTTTTTGTTTTGTATGAGAAATGTGACACAAGACGAGAGAGGGATTTTTTTTTTAGAAAATTCAATTAAAGTAGATGAGGAAAAGTTTTTGCCTGAGGACCTTTTTTGTAGGAAAAGCGATTCAAGTAGAGGAAGAACAGTTTTTGCTTGAGGATCTTTTTTTTTTATAAAAGGCAATTCAAGTAGAAGAGGAAAAGTTTTTGTTTGAAGAGCTTGTCACGGGGCCCAATCTAGAGAGTTGTCCTGGGGCCCGGCCTGGCTCTCGGCGGCCCTGACCATTGTTAGGCACATGTTGAGGTCTTCGACGATTAATCTGAAACTAAAATGACGATCGGCCATATGTTTATCCGAATTACTCGTTGAATGAATTCTAGATCGCTACATGTCTTTAATGGACTCTCGTCCATTCTGGAATTCATTGAACCACCGGCAAACAAATGCGTTTAATAGGGGGTCATCTTTGTAATCCTGCTGAACCAAGGAAAATGTCTCAGAAACGGTTTGGCGCAGGTGAAAGCAAAATTTAATTATCTGGTGCTGCTCCAGCAAATATTTTAGACGTTTTCTCTCGTGACAAAAACTCAAAGACAGCTTTTGCGCCACGCTTGATTCTTAATTCTTACTACGACAGAGCCCGGACGTGACTGCCGCCAGGTGCGTTGTTTATCTCATGATAGTGGTAACAAGGTCTAGTATTTCCTTAGGTGTGCATTGAGAAGATTAAATTTACGTGTTGAACTGAGAAGATAAATTGTAATAAATAAATTAGAATTGTGAGTTATAAAAATTAATTAGTACGTCATAAATAAATTGTAAATAGTGTGTTTTAAATAAATAAACTATAAATAAATTAAACAAACGTCACAATATCTACCATGGTTATACAAAAAACTAATTCAATCTCTGCTGTTTTTCTTTGGATATCTTTTTAACGTCCTTTAAGTTTTAACATATTCGTCATGTCTTTGTTAAGAAAATATTATTTATTATCTTCGGTCTCATTCATTCCAATTGCAATATATTGGCAATACATTTTTCGGCTTTTACTTAATTATTCCATAACTACGAGTAACTGAGCACGAATGGAATTAGTAGAATATTTTTGTAGAGTAAAAAAGGTTTTTTCAATGAATACATGGAATGGAATTAAAATAAATTTATTTTTTATTAATAAACTTGTCGAATTAAATTTTAAACAATAGGTACATTCACCTTCATTTTATGGCTCGTTATATAGGCATACTTTGAACTACTACTAAACACATACCTACCTAATATCTACCTACCTATTTGTTCTACAATAATACTTCTGCTCAAATGAATTTAATCACTAAAGAGTGAATTATTCCGTAAAATAATTAGCTAATAACCAAACGAGGTCAAACAATATACAGAACGTATATAAAGTGTGGAAATAATACGCTCTTGTTTTAAGAGACTCAGACAACCTTTGAAAACGTCCTTTTTTTACATACGGACTATTGTGACTTGTTATATTTATAACAAAATTATAGAAAACATAAAAATGTAGGTATTTAAATTTATATTTTTCTACTGACCGCATGAAATTATCCGTAATAGTAATACGTTACTAGTATTTCAATTTATTTTTCTACGCACACCCCTGAAAATCTAAAAATCGCATCTCAAATAAATCTAACATCTTAAAAACTACAAAGGTACATATGAGCTGTTCAGCAAAATAATGGCCCAACCCACAAAATATACAAAATAGGGTTAATACTGTCATCTATTGGCGAATGACGTATACTTTCAAAATTATAGTGGCCTAACCTTATTATTAACGTTATACGACAGAATGAAATGAATCAGTAGTTCTTCCCCTTACATATTTGCAATATTTTTATACGGAAGAGTGGCCCAATATCATTTAAGCCACTGTAGTTGCTTACAATTAGTCACTCCAACAGTGGCCTATAATCACTTAGACCACCATACTAGCGATATAAAAAGATTTGTGGGTCGTTCGGTTAGTTTTGTGGCTATGTTTATGTTTCATTTTGCCGCCGTTGTATCCTTGTAACTATTTTTATTGTTTACTTTACTTTATACTGTTAATTTCATCTAAAAAAGAGGTAAGTTTATATTTTGTATCTTATAGATAACATAACTTTGTGTTTTTTATAAGATGATAGTAATTTACCATAGTCTGGGAACAAAACACCACTTTTGGGAAATATTTCTTATATTTTCTGCTACGTTGCGGATATTTTTATCCACAGTCCGTATCTAAAATACAAAATTTAATTTAATTTTTTTGGGAGATATTAAAATACGATGTAAAGCCAGTAATAAAATATTGAATTTTGTATTATACAGAGTGGCCCATTGAAAAGAATACAGAGCGTTAACTGGTTATTGTTTTTATAGTAATTGGACTTATTGTTGTTTCAGAAACGAAATGTCAGATTCCAGCGTAGGAGAACCCTCCGAGTTCGAGGATTCTGAATCTGAATACAATACGTCAGATAAAGAACGCTGGCTTTCTTCGCCTGATAATTTGCCTGAACATGAAACAACGATTGACAACCCTACTAATACGGTCCCTGGCCCCAGTCACTTTCAGGATTTTTTGTCTCTTAAAGAAAAAAGAAAGCTAAGTAGAAAACGACTACGACATAATTCCGAATGGAAAAGAGAGACGGCAAAAAGAGCCAGAGCTGCAGGTCAAGAGTACTTAAATATACGAGGTCAGGTTGTTCCTGCAAATAAGTTTTATGATGATGATTGCACATGTCATAAAAAATGTCATAGTTTATTTACACTAGAGGAAAGAAAACTTATTTTTGACAACTTCTATAAACTGAAAAATTTTGATTTACAGAAAGCTTTTATTTTTGGCAGAAGAGCGCTGACCGATTTACCAAGAAGACAGAATACTCGCATATACCTACTACCGAAAACTGGTGTGGATGTTATCGTTTGTAAAACTTTTTTTAAAAAAGTTTAGGAGTCTCGGACGGAATAATTTCTCGAGCAGTTAGATATAAAAATACAGGTAATTCAACTGAGACTACAGCTCCATTAGATAAAAGAGGAAAACATCCATGTAACAAGAAGACCAGTGAATAAGCAGTGAATGGTGTGATTTCATTTATTAAGAAATTCCCTACTTATATAAGTCACTACAGAAGAACAAATAGTCCTAATGCTCAATATCTTTCCCCTGACTTATGTATTGTTAAAATGTATGGTCTTTACAAGGAAGAAATGGGAAATAATGCAGTATCGAGGTTCGTATTTAGTAAAATATTTACTGAGAGATTTAATTTACATTTTCGACAACCTTATTCAGACACGTGTAAAAGATGTGATGCGTTTAACGTTAAGTTACGGCACGGAACACAAATAGAAAAGATTGAAGTCGCACTTCAGAAGGAAGTTCATTTAAGAAAGGTCGAATCTGCACGGTCTGGTTTAAAGAAAGATACGATTTTTGCCCAAAATTTGGACAATGATTCCACAATATTTGCGTTTGACCTCATGAAAACATTACCCACACCAAATATAGGTACGGGTGTTGTTTACTATAAACGTCAGTTATGGACATATTGGGTATTCATAATTTGACAACCAATCAAGCATACATGAATACATGGCATAAAGGAATAGCATCTCGTGGGCCACCTGAAATTGGTTCCTGTCTGTTACATTTTTTTAAACATTATGTAACCACCAAAAAAGTTATCATGTATAGCGATCAATGTGGAGGGCAGAACAGAAACATTAAAATTGCTGCCATTTGTAATTTTGTAACAAGTTCCAACCAATATAATATTGAACAAATTGACCAGAAATTTTTAGTGTCCGGTCACTCATACTTACCGTGCGATAGAGATTTTGGGGTCATTGAAAGAGAAAAACGATATCATGAAAATATTTACATACCCGATGATTGGGTGAAAGTCGTAGCATCTGCAAAGAAGAAACATCCTAAATTTCAGATAATTAAGATGACCGAAAATGATTTTAAATGCACGAAAAAGTTAGAACAGTTAATAACAAACAGAAAACTAGATAATAACGAAATAAAAAACGAAAGAAGACAAGTAGAATGGTTAAAATTTCAATGGATACGGTTGTATAAATCTCACTTATAAAATATTTTATAAATATACGAACATGGACGATGACCTTATAGCACCATTTATGTCTGTAAATGTAAAAAAAAAACAAACTGGAAATTCAGATTTAGAGAACATTGAACTGGATTTGCTATATCCTGAAGGACGAAAAATAGAAAAAAATAAAATGAAAGATTTGCAGTCTCTGTTTCCATACATTCCAGAAATTCATCATTCATTTTATAATATTTTAAAGACCAATGAGGGTGCCGTAGATAATGATGTTGACTGTGCTTTAGATGACGAAGTCTTGGAGGCAGTGCCAGAAACCTAAGTGGATGTGTGTACGGTTACGAGCCGAAACCACAGTTGAAAGAGAATTTTTAATTTTTTTTTATATAATAGTGGCCCAAACCACATTATTTTTTTTAGTTTTTGGAATTTTTAATAATACTTTTATTAAAACATTAGCTTTTACTTCATTTATTTGGGCTATATTAAATGTTTATTAAAAATGTTACGTAAAGTTGAAATAAAAATTTTGAAAAATTCACTCATTCTTTTTTTACGTGTATTTCCATATCACCTTTAAGTGGTTTAGGCCGTTATTCCACTGAGCAGCTCATATTAGAGATGACATATTGGTTCAAACAAATAAACAAAAACCAATACGCCTATATAGTGTAGGAAAAATGAACTAAAACAAACTATTATTTGTTTGCATAGTATATGTTCAATTCATTTTTTAAATAATTTGACAATTCGAAAACAAATCTCAAAAATCCCCTTACGAATTATTAAGACAATCCCCGGAAAACAACCTTGGGGCTGCGTGGAAGGTCTTAAATCGAGAATAATTATTATTTTCCTTTTATGATTAATTGTTAAAACTAAATACATTTTTATTTTATATAGGTCATACCTACTCATAACCGCAGTATTTTCATAAAAGAGTATATAATAGAAATATGTCCACGTTTTCAATAAAAATTGTCGTGTTTTTGGATTTTTTATGACAGCTCTGTTCTAATATATTCAGGGTAGGCCTCTTTTTGAAAAATCAACCAGTCTAATAAACAAAAATAAATAAAAAGCAGAAAACCTTTTATTTTGATAGATAAATAATATTATATTGCATTTACATTACACTGGTATTAGGTTAAATACCAGTTCCATAGGTTAAATATAATTTTATAAATAAATAAATAAAAAAAAAACAGAATTTCTTTGATGTTATTAAAAATAGTGACCCTTTACGTTACAAATAATTTTGTATGTCTAAAATAAATCTGAATACAAACGAAAAACGATTTCCTAAGTTTAAACTGATAACCAGAGAAACTAAATTTATTTATTCATTCCAAATTTGGTTGCAGATAAGCTCGCAGATAAAACTGATGATGGCCTAACATCAAAAGCGTCTTTAAAAATAATTTCAATAAAATTTTTCACGAAATAGAAAGTTTTTTATTGTAAATGTTTTGCATAATAGTCCCTCATCTGATAGCAAAAAAATGGCACGTCGTCTTTTTTGCTTGCTATTTGTAGGTGGGTACAGGCGAGAACTTGAACAAAATGTACTATTTTCTACTAAGTTGCTAATCGTTAAATTTTTCCTTTTTTTGCTGGCAACGAAATATATTCTTGAACTTCATAGGACGCATGACCGCTCCCATCACCGAGACATAGTACATGTTGTTTAACTCTTTCCCCTGTACCCAACTACAAAAAGCAAGCAAAAAAGACGAAGTGCAGTTAGATGAGGGTCTATAACCTCTTTCGTTTCTATTTAATCTTTTAATTTACAGTTTTCATTAATAATTATTTTTTCATAAAGACAATTTTAGAGCTATTTTGTATTTTTTTAAAAGAAATATGAGAGTAATCTCTTAATTTTAATGGTTACTTTACAGGTTGCTTACCTTTCATAATTAATCTGTAGATTTCAAAATTTATTAAAAGTAATGAGTAATGCATTTTTGAAAGGAGAAGCGATTGTATAAAAATACAGCAGGCCAGAAGCACAGCGCCGCAGACGAAAAATTTTTCGCGGCGCATTCACCATTTTGACAAAATCTTGCTTTTGTCCTCAGTACTACGGATATTCGAGATTGAGATTTTTGAAGTATTATCATTACTTTATTACCTAGTTTAGTATTAGAAGTTATAAAAAAACTTACCATTGAAAAGCTTCCTTGGTTTATTTAAACGTAAAAAAAAACATTTAACTGAAGTTTTTTTATTTTTTCCAGCATTTTTCGCACAGTTGACACAGCAGTTGACATTTATTTATACTTAAGATCTATTCGCCTATCCTCAATGGCTGTAAATTTGTCTATAACATCGTCGTAAAATTTTGGATTTTCTGATAACTGTTTAACAAGCTGTTTTACAATGGATATTAGGGCTAAATTAGAAAGTATGTCTTCACTTGTTGAATTTCGTATAAAACGTTTAATGCGCTTTAAAGCTGAAAAACTTCGCTCAATTGACGCACTTGTGGCTGGGATGGTTAGTATTAATTCACACAACTTGGGCGTCTTTTAATCACTAATTTCAGTTGTTTCATAAACAACATTTAACTGGGACTTTAATGCTGGAATATCGAAAAAAATTCCATAATTTAATTTTAGTGAATTAAAAGTTTCCGATGGAAATTTTGATGAATCGAAGTTACTAATGTTAAAAAAGCACAATTCATTAAATTTTAATTCGCTAAAGTTTAGAAATCGAGAATTCATTTGTTGTAAAATATTATCCAAAATTTCAACGTATAATCAGTAGTAATACTATTCGCTCCGTGCGCGACAGCAGCGCCAATTTGTTTTGGTATTAAAGGAGTATTTCTGCCTATACTGACAAATACAATTTTTAATAGAATTCGTAAATAAAAAGTATATATGTTAGTTTTAATAAAAGTATATGGATTTATAAAACAATTAAAACATTAATTTATTATTATTATATATTTTTCAAGCTTAAATTGAAGAAAATTATGTATAATCATTAAAAATCAATAATAAAATATAGGCAGGCAACAGTATTTACTGGAAAATGTATGAGAAGTTGCCTAAGTCTAATAAGTTATCATTGAAGAAACCATTTATAATAGCGTGAAGTTAAAATGTATAAAAATGATCGCTACTTATATTTTCATTTTTGTTCTAAAGAAAACATAGAATGAATGATTAAAACTGGTTTCCGATCAGTAAGTCACAAAATTGCATACCAGCCAAATATAATCAACGGCAGAAATCTTGAAATCTAGTCCTTGCTGAATGAACATTTAAGAATAAAGGGATATTAAAGAACATCGTAAAATGATAATTTATTGTTTATTTAAAAACTTTCTAGTTTCTGATGTCTACTATTTCCAGCATTACTGTTATTATCACAAAAATAAAGGTAATTTTTCTTCTTATTGTACACCTATCCATTTATTGCTTTGATTTAATTTCCACTTTGTTAGTGAAATTTGTTATATAAGTTTCACTGTTTTTTTGCTAGTATTTGTACAATTTTCAACACAGCAACTCCGGTTGCTTATTGTGTTGTTTTTACCTACTTTTTTGAAAAAAAGTAAAATGTATACGTGTATTTGATATGCCAAAATTACAAAATATCCCCCTAAAATGCACGAATTATCCGCAGCTAGCGCTAGTATCGCTTTTGCTTCCCTTTCCATGACTTCGCACGGAGCGAATAAGTACTTCAAAATAATCAGGTTATACATCGATAACTTGTTGCATAATTATAAAGAGTGTCAGTTTGACAGTTTAAATAACCCGACCGCGAAGCGGGAGGATTATTCTGTCAAACTGACACGATTTGTAATTATGCAGGAAGTTTGAGATGTATAACCGTATTTAGTTTGAAGTACGTATTG